AAAGAGTAGCTCGGGAAGCACCGGCGTAAGAGTGGAAGACCGTGCACTTGGCGGCCTTAATTACGAGCCGAGGTATTCCGCGTGGATTCCGCGGAATGTGCGGCCGACGAGGCGCGGGCGATTGAAAGCGTGACAATTTAAAACGCGCTCGGACGAAGTGCGACGAGGCACGCGTCCGAGGCGGGGCCTCTCGGCGGATCAATGTCGGCGTAGTAATTACGCCGGGGGGCTCGGCCCCCGCGTCGAGCAATTATTTCGAGAATGCGAGCGTCTGAAAAGGACGAAAAAGTCACGTGGCGAAAAAGCACGAGCGACCGGTGTCGGGGCTGGTGTTAGCCGTCTTGAACACTTGATCCCGCTCGTGTGGCGCGAACAGGCCGCGGGGGAAGAGGCTGCGAGGTAACGGAGATAGAAATAAAAAGGGCTCGCGAGATAAGAAGGGACGGAGGAGGTCTCGAGATAAAGCTTCGTTTCACCGACGACGAGCCGAGTGTTAACTCGTCGGCGATTGATTAGACATCAAGAGTGTATCGGAGCATTATCGTGTTAGGGGCTTGCTCGCCCCGACCTGGCCCAAGGATGCCCAACTCGCGAGAGCGGGAGCTAGCCGCGAAAGGAAGGAGAGAACAACGCCGTCGGCGTCGTAGGGTGCCTGGAAGATGCGGGCAACAATGTAGCCCGTGCTGCGTACAATAGCCGCCGCATTATGTGCACAACGCGGCAATGGGGCATCGCTAAGGTTACATTACCGGCTGGCTACCTCTCTCCTTCTCTCACAAAGAGAGTCTCGCAGTTCGGCGCACACAATGCGATACCGGCCGGGGAGGAGCAGCTAGTGATGGGGTAGAAATGGCGTCGAGTCGGAACTCCGGAGGCAAACTCACGCGCGACAGAACGCGAGGAGGCGCTGCAAAATCTACAGACGAGATCTTTCATCGAGCGCGTCTCCTTCGTCTCGCGCGCAGGACTTTCCCCGACTCTGTCGTGGCGCCCGCCGCGAAAAATTAGAAGAACGAAGCAATGGGAGAGAGAGAGAGAGAGAGAGAGAGAGAGAGAGAGAGAGAGAGGAGAGCGACGGTGATATCGCAGCGACAAATGATATCGAACCGGTCGAAATATATAAATATACAAATTCCTCCCCCCCCTGTGCGTAAAACAGCATCATGCGCGCTATGCGTCGCCGCGTTTAGGAGCCGCCGAGTACTCACCGAGTGCTCCAATTCGACTCACCCTTCGGCCCTTCGTCGAAGCGCCTACTCGCGCGGCGTTTGCCCGGCCGGGGCCGCGATCGCGTCGATTCCATCGCTGCGCACACAGACCACGGGGTCCGTTGCAGTGCGTGTTTTCACGTGATGGGGTCGGCTTCCAGACCTGAGAACATTCCCACGTTCCGTAGCACGAGCCAAGAGTGTACAACCGGAAGAATTTCGGAGGCGAGGCAACCACCTATTCTGCACCGAGCAAGAGAGACGCGACGAGCACGGGGGGCACGGGGAACAACGTCGGCTAGAGAGGGAAGAGAGAGAGAGAGAGAGAGAGAGAGAGAGAGAGAGAGAGAGAATGGAGGAGGGGGTAAAAAGGATACGGCAAAGGATGGGGAGAGAAGAGGCTCTACGACTGCCTTTGCCAACGAGGGAAGAGGAAAGAGAAGCCTACCAACGGAAGTGTTTCGTGTCTACCGACGTACTCCGAATTAGCATCGACGACCTAACGTACCTCCTTCCTCGCTGAACCGCGGTCGGGGTCGCCGACGGAGACTACGGAGAGATCTGAGCGCACAGAAGGAAGGAGCACGAGGAAATCGAGAAGAGCGAGCGAGATTCTTCGGGAAGGAGGAGGAGGAGGAGGAGGAAGAGGAGGAGGAGGAGACGGCGGCGCCGGCTGCGGAGATATCCGGTAAATATCGCTGTTGTTCGGCGCGGTGGAATCGCGGGGATTGTTGCTTCAGCCCGGGGGGAGGGGGGGGAGGGAGGTGACTTTAGCATCGCGCTGCTTTGTTTGTGCAATAGCAACGCCGCTGTGTGGCGGGCCGTTAATTCATGTTGCGCTTCACTCTGATACGAATTGATAATAAATTACACGCCGCAATATATCGGGGAATGAGCCCGCCGGGGCTCGACTACTCCCCTGGAACATTATCCCGCGCTTTTTCTCTCTTGCCGCGCTCGCGCGCGCGCGCAGGGTGAAATCGTGTGCCGATTGTTGTTTCATCTCGTACATTTATTATACACGTTGCGCTTCCGCGTGCTCGTTTGCCCGAGAGAGATACAATCGACGTTCGCCCTCCCCGGAACAAAAGCTTCGCCCGACCGCGATCGGATATATTCGTCGCGCTCGTTGCGCAGTGTAGTTTCATGATTATTTAACCCCCTGCACTCGAGAAATAGTTCCACATTTCCTCCTATCAACTCGATAATTATAAATATAATTTCTAAATACCTCGAAAAACCACCAAAAAGGATATTTATTTCCTTTAATGTCGTCGCTACGTTTTATCTTTTTATTGTCGTTTTATCTGTCTTTAGATCTTTTTCATGCCAGCACAGCTGGCAGTTCGAGCTGCCGGAATAAATGGTTATGCCAGCTGTGCTGACATTCCGAGTGCAAAGGGTTAATATTCGCGCACACGCCTCCACAAGTTGACGAGTATCTATTCTTCATTAGCCTGCGACGGGCACCCGCGGACAGCGTACTGGACTACCCGTCGCAGGTGGTCGTTTCGTATGGCCCTGAATAAACACAGGTTCCCGCCTTCCGTATTATCCGCAGGGCCGAGAATTGTATTTACTCGCAATCGGAAGTATCTCGTTCGGTGCTTTGTTGACCGTGACCGGCGACTTTAAAACATTAACTCGGACTGGCTATCTGTTCTCGTCTTACGTCGTACGGAAAATGAAGACTTATCAGGCGGGATCGACAATAGGAACTTATCTCACACAGCCAGAAAGTCCAGAAAATAGAGACATTACGGCGGATTCCTTTCCGACAGGCCTCCGAGAAATGCAGACTCGACAAAGTTTCACTACAGAGTCAATTATTGTCGTAATCTGAAATAGATCGGTGATCAAAGCGGCTGTATACATGAAAAAGTGGCTTCTTTAACGAGCGTAATGTCGCGGTGATATCCGGACGAGATAGCCCCCGCAGTGGAGGCAAGTTTTGCGTTTGGAGCCAAAAGCTCGTAAATACTCGGCCGACCCACTTGAAACCTTGTTTAGGGTATCGGCTTTCAAAAGGGCTAAACACCTCGTTAAGTCCTGCGAACGAAGCCTGTCCAGGTCGAGGATGGGCGGATCATTAAGACCGTACGTTTATAATTCGAAACATGGGCTCCCGAGCCGATCTCGATGGCGCGTCCTGGAACCGGTTATCAAAAATTCTCCGGAGGCCGTCTAATCTCGGACTAATGTCCGATAGAATATGCAAAATTCGCAATCGCGCAATCGGGCGAGCGCGGAGCGAAAACGTACATTAATTCTACTTGAATATTCCGCTGCGACGGGATTTCGTCCTCTCTCGATTTCGTCCTCGGTCAACAAATTTTCGACTACTTTCGGCTACTCGCTACAGCTGAACTTCTTCCCCGAAGTCAACATTACTCGCGTTTACGTCCATCTGCAAAAATCTACGTAGAACACGTCCAAGGCGTCAATTAGATACGCCAGTCAGGATTCACGACGGTATAAAAGCAAGCCTTAGCAAGTGGGGGGAAGGGAAGAGGGAGGAGAACAGGATCGGCACTAGCCGCGACATTTATTTCTATTGTTCCGCACAAAGTGGAATGTAAACTGGTCCAGCCGCCGCGCCGCGACCCGGCATCGTCCGCCGAGCCGTGATTCATTGCGGAGAAGTGCCGGGAGTGCTGCCGACACGCGCGTGCACGTGCACCATGTCGGCGGCGGTAACCGTCGGTGAATCAACAAGTGTGCCTCGAGCGCCGATGCGCGAGCCGCCGCTGGCGCGCGGGCGCGCGCGTGCAGCGTTTCATTTCGCTTCCTATCGATATTATCGAGCGCGCGATACGAAATGTCGAGAAACTCGCACAATTGTGAGTGTGTGAGACGAGTCGCCCCGGATTAATTGAGACACGTCGCGTCTCTCTCGACGCTGGTCCACTTGTTCGCCTCATTTCTCTCTCTCTCTCTCTCTCCCTCTCTCTCTCGATCTCTCTCTCTCTCTCTCTCTCTCTCTGGATCTCGATCTCGAATTACCCGACCGAAAGACCGGCGTCGGAGGTCCCGCCTCGCGTGGCGTGCCTTCTCGTTTCAATCTCGATTGAAAGATGACGCGCAATTGGCAATTGGGATCGAGCGGAACGGCCGATCCGTGAGTGTACACGAGCACACGTCGCGCCTCGATTCGCATCAGTTTGCGCGTCTCTCCTCCTCTCGCGAAGCGCCGCTCATAGATTTATTCGCGATAATTCCGTGCCCGTGGCGCGATCACGCTCGCGCGGATCGCGCGGGTCGTCCTCGTGCTGGTCGCGCGTCGTGGCGTGTGCTCCTCTCTCTTTCTCTCTCTCTCTCTCCCTCCCTCCCTCTCTCTCTCTCTCTCTCTCCCTCTCTCTCTCTCTCTCCCTCTCCCTCTCTCTGCCTTTCTCTCTCTCCCTCTCCGCTCCTCTCTCTCTCTTCCTCTCTGTCTGTCTGTCTTCTCTTTCCTCTCCCCGCAGTGCGTCCAAGACAGCGTGCAGGTGTGCTCTCGGTAAGGTGTCCCCTCCCCCGCTGTTTGCGCGCAAGGAGCCCCCCCCTCCTCCTCGGCAGGCGTCGAGCGGCACAGAACCTGTGTGCAGGCCCCAACAGGCCCCCGATCTGTGGGAACGCTCCGGCCTGCGAGCTTCCCACGATACGCCACGGCTGCTGGCTGGCTGTGCACGCGGACTGCACGGTACAACCGTGCCCCCGCAGACCCCTTTTGCACCCCAGTCCCAGCGAGAATCCTAGGCTCGCGTGGAGGGAACGACGACGAGGCTGGTGGGGCGACCCGTATAAGTAATTGAAAGTACCCCACCAGCGCTCAGAACCGTCACGGACACAGATCCAGACGTAATCTCGGGAGCCCGAGAACAGCGAACATACGCGACTAAAGGGAAGAGAGATAGAGATAGAGAGATAGAGATAGAGAGATAGAGAGAGATAGAGAGAGAGAGAGAGAGAGAGAGAGAGAGAGGAGAGAAAAGAGAAGAAGCGAGAAAATAAACGGCAAACGTGAATGTTTCCATTCGCGTAGCCGGCGGTCATCTGACAGCAAAGACGGTGTAGCCGGGAGGAAGACGCAGCCACCGATACCGGAAAACACAGGCGCGCGGCAGAAGAGACTGCTTTTCCCCGCCGGACACCTTGTTTTGTGACGAGTGATATACGACGATACAAAGTGTAATCACCGCATGGCGCCGCACACCAGCTACACGCCGATCAGCGGCATGGAGTACGAGGAGCCGGTCTCGCGCACTTATCAGTACCGCAAGGTGATGAAGCCGATGCTGGAGCGCAAGCGGCGCGCCCGCATCAACCGCTGCCTGGACGAGCTGAAGGACCTGATGGTGACCGCGCTGCAGGCCGAGGGCGAGAACGTGGCCAAGCTGGAGAAGGCGGATATCCTGGAGCTGACGGTGCGTCACCTTCACACGCTGCGCGCCGCCAGGAGGCTCACCTTGACGCCGGAGAACAGCTACGCTGATCGATTCCGGGACGGCTTCACCCAGTGCGCTCAGGAGGTGTCGACGTTCCTGTCGACGTCGGTCGCCGCGGCGGTGCATCCCGCCGCTGGTGCCCAGCTCATGCGACACCTCGGTGGCTGCCTCCGACGCCTGGAGGGTCCGGCTGGCGCGAACCACGCGACCGCGACGACAACGTCGAGCAGCACGAAGAGCAGCCAGCCGACGCAGCCGAACGGCAGCCAGAAGAGCGTCCCGCAAAACGTCTATTCTCCGCCGCAGAGCCCCGTGAGTGTCGCGAGCTCCTCCGTCGAGTCCTCCGACTCCTCCAACCTCGCTGTCTGGAGGCCTTGGCGATGAAGCAGCCTCTCGGCGAGGTGAGACGAACGTCCCGTGGATCTCCGACTATGGCGGGCCGTGGATGGACCAGAGAGACGACCGAGTCGACGGGGGGATTTCCACCGCGGCAGAGTCCAGCTCGCCGCGGCGCAGCAATCAACGACGAATCAATGTCTTCCGAGTCCTTTCGAGCTCTCTTCTTACCCTCGTCATCGAGGACATTGAGGATCTTGCGCTCATCCCGATTTATTTACTCGATCGTATTGTACATAAAAGTGATGAAGCTTTAAGTGACGTCTGTGATAGGGTTCCATTTTGTACCTGAACTGACTGTTTTCTTATAAAGTATAACTGCTATTATATAGACGTTAATTTGTTATATTATAAAGAACTTTTCTCGCGACACACAATGCCGCTCGCGGCGAAATAAATATACTACGTTGAGGCAGCCAGCCGCACGATAATCAATAAATGTCTCGTTTCAACGATTTGTCTTGTCGAATCGATCGCCACCTCGGACTCTCTTGTTTCCCCCTCTCCTCCTCCCCCCCGCCTCTCTCTCTCTCTCTCTCTCTCTCTCTCTCTCTCTCTCTCTCTCTCTCTCTCTCTCTCTCTCTATCACTCGCAACAAATTTCACGTTTCAGATGTAAGCATGGTGCAACTCCAGTTGATGTAATGTATTCTCAAAGCGACATTTCGTTATGTAAATAATCCGTAATTATCGAAAAATCCTTTTACTATGCGCAATGCATATTGTCGTATTGATATAGTCACATATGTAGTCACGCTATATTGTCATATATATTCTCGAGAAAGTACGGGAATTGCAAGGCGAGGATAAAGCCAAAGGAATAATCAGAGCGCGTTCAATTAGTCAACACGGCGACGGGAGCGGCGCAGCGGGTATCTTTCGGTGTAAAGCTAAAAACAATGTTTGGCCGGCGGCTTCGTAGCGAGTAACACCGCGCGACGTTGTGCGAAATCGACGAGTCGGCAACCGCCAGTCACCAGCCGTCGTGCCGTGGCCGGAGGTGACACGTGAATATTAATGCGCGTTACCTGACTCGATGGACCCCGACGACTTGCAGTGTCCCGAGCGGGAAACACGATCTAATTAATTTCTCTCGTTCTCCACAGGCGACGTCGCGAAGACGCGACGCGACTCCGAGTCCGACCGAGTCATCTTTTCCTTCTCTATCGGCAAAAACTCGAGGAAGGTCGCAGAAGCGCTCGCGAGAAGCACTCGCCGCAAGAAGAATCAGCGAGCGGTTCGGCTCGAGGGGCGCGACGCTTTCACACTTTTTCGCGCCTTCTGTCCCGGCCGTCCCGATATCGCGTTAATTTGATTTTACGTAAGTGGAGCAGCCGGCGCAAGAAAATTAACTTTTTCTCCTCCGCGGGTCCTGTCTTACTTTCCGATCCCGATTAATGCACACCCGCGTTCCATCAGCTCGCCGATCGATAACGAGTATTTAATTGCCGCACGGTGCTCGGCGCGTTTACTTAACGTGCGTTTCGAGGCGGCGAATTAATCGACAGGCCGGGCTTTTTGTATCAGAACCGCGTGCCCGCGCCGCGTTCTGCACCCTATCAATCATTGTCGTTACGGCACGATTTCTGCGTAGCATCGTTGCGACTTCATCACCGCGTCGATCGCGAGCGTTGCGCAAGTCAGCGCGCAGCGTGTCATGAGACGGAGAACAAATAATTTCCCTCATTATTATTCATTTTTTTTTTTTCCTTCTAATCGTCTCCGTGTTTCCGAGCAGTCGCTCGAGATCTCGGAATTTCCTTAGGCGCATCTCATTGAGAAGCGCAGAAAATTACCATTTCGTGAGACGATCTTTTCTCCTGCGATCGGCGATAAGAATGAGCGGTTCGCGCGAATCGTCGGAGTCAGTAATCAGGAAACTGTGGGAAATAATGAATGTGAGGAAAAACAGCGATTTCAGGAAAGAGCGAGATTAGAGCGTTGTTTCTGGGGCGAGACGATAAATTGCGTGGCAATTTGACCTTTCCTCTCTCTCTCTCTCTCTCTCTCTCTCTCCCCTCTTCTCCCCATCCTTTTGAAACTGCTGTCGCGGCAAAAACTATCAATCGCGCCGCATGCAAACGGAAATGATCCCGGCGCGTAACAGTCTCTCATTCAAGCGCGATGCACGATCGACAGGAGCGCGCGCGCTCGACTGCGAGAGATTGCGCGTCCGCAATTATCGGGATATATAACCGAGCCGGGCGTTGACTTCGCGAATGTTTAAATCTAATAATAACAAGCGATCGTGACGCTGCCGATGTGAAACATCGATGATCGACATCTGCGGTCGATTGCGCGATTTCTTACTTAGCGCGTGCAACTCGAGGATGACTCGACACGATCATCTTTGAAAGTGCGTGGGGAAAATGCACAAAGATATTCGAAAGTACTCTGAAATATTTTATTTACATATAATGTAAATATATATTATATTTATATATATATATATATATATATAATATGTGACGTATAATATATAAAATATTTTATTGTTGCATTCTCGCGCTCGTGGCCATTATACTAATCCGCGGATGTCGATATTTGCTTGTTCCAGGTGCTCACGGCCGCACCGTCATAATGCTGACAGCTGCTGGCGTTTAAACAATACGACAAACTGGTGCGTACCTTTCCTCTTCCTTTCGCAAATCCGCGCGACGCGACGCCGGTCGAGCGCGTGCACTCGCACGCGCGTTTATCGCGGCTTATCGATGCGATAGCGTCTGTGAATCGGCCGCAGACGGATCGGTTTCTGCCTCGGCTATGCCCGGCTGTGCATTGTCGGATCGCTCTAATTGATACTCTCTCTCTCTCTCTCTCTCTCTCTCTCTCTCTCTCTCTTGCTGCGATACTTTGATGCGTGCGTGCGTGCGTGCGTGCGTGCATGCGCAAGTTGATTTACTTTCGACATAAGTTGAGATAAAACACGGCGATAAACCTACCGGGGGGAAACAACTCGCGCTAAAAATTCGCGCCGGCTTGACGTGACTGACGGCGAGGCGAAATTTTCGTCAGCTTCGCTCCACTCGACCCGTGATAATAAGCACGTCGATTATTCGCAGCTGGCCGTTTCGCGTCACTCATGGCACGCATAAAGATCGGTGTCTCTACGGTGCTCCTTAATTGCGGCCCCTGGCAAATTTGTCACGTTCCGTAAGAATTCGACGAAAATATTCCCACGGCAAGCCGGCTCCCGGCTTGTAGTGGTAATAACAATGATACAATAATTACATCGTGCGGGGCCGGGCCGGGCCAGGCCGATTGTGACAGACTTCTCGACAAGCTATGACGCACGTGTTTAACGCGTCTCGAGAGTGACACGTCGTGTCCAGTTTCGCGTCTCTCACCGCGAGAATCACCACGCCGTATTTTGTGTACGTATAATGAGTGAAATTAACGAACATCGCTCGGCATCTTAATTCCCGTGAAACATCCGTGATAACAGCAGCCGCGCCGCGCCGGCGACTTGTCACGCGATCGATCAGCGCACCGTGATCCGTGAGGCGGAGACTTTCTCAGGCCAGCGAGAAAGCAACAATGTACAAAGGGGGCACAAGTGTGACAGGCGGAACATCGTCGCGCACATGACACGACGGCGCGACAATGTGGGGAAAAGCGCGCGCGTTATGACACTCCCATGCCGTTTGTTGCAGGCCTTACGAGATGGACGTGATCGCGTACAACCACCACCACGAGATCCGCAGTATCGCTAGCAGCATCGACGGCGGTGACAATGAGAATCAGTATGATGAGGATCTGTTGTCGATCGACGATCTCGACAGCGGTGGCAGCGGCGGCAGCGGCGGCGGCGGCGGTGGCGGCGGCAGCGGCGGCGGCGGCGGCGGCGGTGACAAGCGGAATAAATTGCCGCTGCGGAAGAGCCTGTTCGACAACGTAGCGCCCTACATCGCCTTCCAATCGCACGACTGCAAGGGCCCGGTCCTGCCGTACGCCGTGACGAGACACTTGAAATGGCACCTCAGCAGGATCACGCCGACCTTGGTGCGTCGCACCCTGGTGAACTCCGGCTACCGCCTGATGAAGAAGTGTCAGAACTGGTGCGGCACCTGGGGCAAGCACATGAAGTCCGCCTGCTTCAAGGGCGTGAAGGACTCGCAGAAGGTCAATCATTTCCCTGGGACCTTCCAGCTCGGCCGGAAAGACCGGCTGTGGCGCAACCTCAGCCGGATGATGCTGAAGCACGGCAAACGGGAGTTCGGCTTCGTGCCCCGCACGTACGTGCTACCTCAGGACCTACGCTCCTTCCGCCAGGTGTGGGAGAAGACCGGCGGCAAGGAGAAGTGGATCGTCAAACCGCCGGCGTCCGCACGCGGTACTGGGATTCGCGTGGTCCATCGCTGGTCACAGATACCAAAGAAACGGCCCGTTGTCGTCCAGCAATATCTGTCGCGGCCGATGCTGATACGCGGCGCCAAGTTCGATCTGCGGCTCTACGTGCTCATCACCACCTTCAACCCCCTCCGAATCTATATGTACCCGGACGGCCTGGTGCGCTTCGCCTCCGTCAAGTACAACGAGGACATCAACTACCTCAGCGACCGTTTCATGCATCTCACCAACTACAGCATCAACAAGAGCAGCGCTACCTACACCAGCAACAACTGCGCGGACTCATGCACGGGCCACAAGTGGGCTCTGAGGACTCTATGGTCGTACCTCGAGCAGGAGCACGTCAACGTAGCCAAACTGTGGGCGGCGATCAAGGACATGGTTGTGAAAACGATGATCGCCGGCGAGTCTTCCATCAACAGTCTAACGAGGGCCAACGTTACCTCGAGGTGAGCCATTTTTTTTTATCCTGCACTTTTTCATCTCGCTCGCACACTAGGGTCGCCAGGCGCGTCCAGATGATCGTCAATTATGCCATTCAGAGTTTACCGTCAAGTTGCCCAATCGATGTTAAAAATGTCCGGATTATGAATATTCCTTATTAATTGATGATATACAGTGCTTCTCTAAAGTTTGATCCAACTCCCTGAAAACTTCGAAAACGACTTTAGATATGGAAAAGTGTTTCGGACAAAAATTGTAGAATATTCAAGGGGACAGATCATGAAAATGTGAACTTGACCTTTTCAAGGCCAGGTCAACGTGATTGATGTCTTCTTGAATGAAATCCCCATGACTTTTTATCGCACATTCTTAGTCCTTGTCGAGACACGTTTTCAAAACACTACTTATGTCCTTTGTGCAATTTGCATTTTTCAGAAAAATATATTTTTATAAACTACATGTTAATGTGAAATTAATGTGAAATTTGATTCAGATTTCTCAATTTTTCAATATGGCGACCTTAATCCACATATACATACATACACATACATACGTACATACATACATATATACGACTCTCTCTCTTCTCTATCTCTCACAATTTTGTGGAATCTTGAAGTATACGCAACATGTATAATTCCACGCGCGCGTGTCGACCGTATTTCTGATCTACGTGCTTTACGAAATGTCAAGGTACTGTTGCTATGAACTTTTCGGGGTCGATATTCTCCTCGACGAGAACCTGAAGCCGTGGTTACTCGAGGTGAATATATCGCCCTCTCTGCAGTCTTCCTCGCCGCTCGACGACGCCGTCAAAGGGCCCCTCATTAGGAACGTCTTCAATATTGCCGGATACCATCTGCCCGCGTGCATACCGATCGAAGAGATGGAGAAACTGGCCGAGAGGTATCAGTTGGACCCGCTATCAATTGCCCAAGACTACAGACTGTATCGGACCAGTCTGAGCTACCAAGAACGGCACAAGCAGTCCATGTACTTGAACCTGAAGAATCGGGAGGACTACCTCCACGACATAATCGACGATCTCACGCCCGACGATGTCAGGCACTTAATCACTTACGAGGACGAGCTGACGCAGCTGGATAGGTTCGAGAAGATCTTCCCTACCGCCGACAGTCACCGGTACTCGCAGTACTTCGACGTGCCGAGGTACTACAACATGCTGTTGGACGCGTGGGAGACCAAGTACGGCGACCGCAAGCGGGAGGCGGGGATCTCCCGGTTGCAGAAACTGTGCAAGACCAAGTATCACTTGGAGCAGCAAATGGTCTTTTAGATAGTCATTCGTGTCCGTCCGGACTCGCCGCCGGTCTGGAAAGATCTCGTGTGCGTACGCCCTTGATAAACAAACGCAAACCCTCGGCGATGTCGAGGCATCGAAGAGGTGCGCAGCGCAGCCGCGACGTCGTGAGGATACTTTTTATTTCATTATACACCGTGCGCTCGCGCACGTGTGCCATCGTGCGTGCGTGCGTGCGTGCGTGCATTCAGAAGTATACGGGTATTGTACGTACCATTTTAACCGCCCCGGCACTCGTTTCTCGACTCGTCGGGGCAGGTTCATTATGTGCCTTTCTCACGGTTGTGCGAATTTACTTGATACTAGAAAAATTCCTCTTTAATAAAGACATTTTTTGGTAAATCGCGCTCTCTAATCGCAGGACATCACCAACACCGTCCGCCCTCCGTCTCCTCTTTGCCCCCTCCATTAGCAGAATCGATGGGTCTAGGCTTCGCGCTCGGCTCGCGAGCGTCTCGAGCCATTCCTTCCGATCGAGGAGTGATGGCGATTTCGTAAATTCGAATTCTAGACCGGCAGCAAGCAATCAGGTAGGTGGGAAATCGCACAAAAGCCTCCCCGAACGCCGGTAATTGCGCGGAACTCGTTTTCGGCGAGAAAAAAGAACCGCTCTCGCGCGAGGCCGCCACCGGCCGTGGTAAATTGTCGACGAGTCATCGTACCGAGAACTCGCGACGAGGCTGTTTGCGCGTACGTCGAAATGAATGTCGAACGGGCCTAATGGCTTGCGCGACGGACAGCGGCGGCGGCGGCGGCGGCGGCGGCGGCGGCGGCGGCGGCGGCGACGGCGACGACGACGACGACGACGACGACGACGACGACGACGACGACGACGACGACGACGACGACGACGACGACGACGACGACGATAAAAAGTCCAAGTCGCCGATGCGCGAGAGGAGAAAGAAAGTCTCCTCGCTAATGTACCGCCGCGCCGTGCATAATTTTCGCCAACAAAAGCACCGGAAGAAGCGTCGCTCCCGCGAGCTCAGCGAAGCGCGAGCACCTGCTTCGCTTGGTGGTCGTCCGCCGAAGAGGAGGCTCAGGCCCAGCTTTCCCAACAGCTCTCCCGGAGCGCGACATCCTCGCGTTAGCCGACATGTATCTGCGACTGTCCGGCATCTCTCTCTTTCTCTCTCTCTCTCTCTCTCTCTCTCTCTCTCTCGCTCTCTCTCTCTCTCTCTCTCTCTCTCTCTCTCCTCTCTCTCTCTCTCTCTCTCCTCTCTCTCTCTCTCTCTCTCTCTCTCTCTCTCTCTCTCTCTCTCTCTCTCTCTCTCTCTCTCTCTCTCTCTCTCTCTCTCTCTCTCTCTCTCGGCGGGTTTAATAAATCCGTACTGACAATTTAATGTCTCTATTGCGATCGCGACGGTCGCAGGCGGTGCCGCGGCAACTGCGCTTGATTAGGTTAATACGAAAGGGGACCAGATTTCTTCGCTTCCGCCCTTTAAATTCAATTACCGACGGTCACTCTCGGCCACTTAAAACATCATATATCAGTTTTGTCTGGAGGAAGTGCGATCCGTACGATCAAGTGACCGAGGCAATTGCCTTCAGAAGCAGCCAGACGCGCCAGACAGGCCGCTTTGATTCGTTGAGATTTTCGGTCTCGTTAAACGATAATTACGCGCGCGTCGCGACGATTAACCCTTGTGACATGCCGGCTGCGGACGTGGACGCGGCGGAAACGCTCTTCGGAAGTAACGAGCGACTTCCCGAGTCTGAGTTTTTCGCCAGCCGCGCGACGTGAACGCGGCGAATTTCGGCGCCGAGCGCCTCCCGTGCGACGGCCCTGATCATTCGAGCCGCCTCGAAGGTTCGATAAGGCGTCACTGATCGCGGCGAGCGTGATTACCGCGAGCTGATTGTTTCGGACGCTGATTTCGAGAGCGTCCTACACTTTCCCGCGGCTGCGCGAGTCTCGGGTCGGTGAGTGACACGGAATGCATTTCGCATTCATTAAAGCGCGATTCGCCGATCGATTCGTGTATCTGCGCGAGTTTTAATGGTAATGTCTCAGTGCCAGTGAACAGCCGAAAGCACGAGGCAACGAGGCACGAGGGGAAAGCACACAGGACGTTGAATCTCCTCTGGGGGCGAGGAGGGCTCCGAGGGCGCCTGGAAGCAGGCAACAACGCATCACATATTTTCAAGTATGTCAGATCTTTTGTTGTACAATAATCGAAGTTGCGCGAATGTTGATTTGTATCTCGAACAATACTCCTCGTGCCATGAACAATACTCCTCGTGCGACGTTAAATCTGTCAACGTTCCTTTCTCAACCATATTCTTGCATTTATTCCTGCCATTGTTTGTCATTTTCAAATTCTCAATTTCCTACTGATATTATTGGACATCATTGTTTTGTCGTTCTTTTCGAATCTTTAAATTCCATCGGAAAGAGACGCGCGCTAACAAAAAGATTAAGAAAAGAGAGAGAGTTCGTCGTCAGGTTTGCCTATTGATCGCGTATCGGATTGTTTAATATCTCTTTAAAAATACCGATGTGAGAGTTTATAACACCAACACACACTGTGCCATTGTATTGATAAATTTCAATTCGATTCGCGAACATTTATTACCATCTCGCGGGATCTCGTTCGGGGCTCCGTTCGCCATCGCGATCTCGGATCGAGGAACCAATTAGCGATTCGACATCGATAATAATATAATAAATAAGAAATCGCTCGCATCGCGGACATATCGATACGTGTTGAGCTCGTAGACTGCCTCGAGCCGCCGATTTCGGTGGCGAAATAATTCGAGGGCGATTTACACGGTGCGTCGAGTACCCTGCCGTCGTTTGAAGACAATGGGCTCGCTCGGTGCCACGACGGTCAATGAATTGATATCGTTATTGTAACAACATAATAGACATATTTTCTTATTGAGATTGCAGCCTTACGTATGTGTGACGCGCTTACGCTTGCGCGCGCACGCGCACGCGCGCCACTGTGTGCCGGCGCGCGGACCGTCTTTATTCATTCATGTATTCATTCATGCGAGCTGCGCCGCGTTATGTGCGTTATGTAAGCAATACAACGCCGACACGTAAAGGCTAAGGACCTCGTCTTCTACGTGAGGACAGATCTCAAGGAGACCATCCGCCACCGCTGTTGTACGGGACAGGTAGTTACGGGACGAGTACGTTCTCTCTCCGTTTTTATCGTCGACTATTAACGAACCTGCACGCGCCTACGTTTCGTCCGACTCTTACCGACAATTTCTTCAGTCGCGCGGGGAAAGAAACAAGTTGACGCGTGCGTGCGCTCTCCCTTTCTTTCTCTTCTTCTCTTCTCTCACCCCCCCCCTCTCTCTCTCTCTCTCTCTCTCTCTCTCTCTCTCCATCTTCTGGATAACCGAGTAAAAATGTTGTGCAATCTCGTTTACGATACGTCCCTCGTGCGGACGTAAGCGCGAAGCGCGTGATTTATCATTACCATCGGCCCGTCGCATTCACGCTCGAGTCCCATTCGAGCGGACGTTACGGCAGGCGGGAAATTCGCGTGCGCGCGCGCGAGGACGTACTCGAGCCTCGGTAACGACTTAATAGAGCGAGAAGGCTGGCGGCGGCGGCGGCGGCGGCGGCGGCGGCGGATGCGAGCACGTGGAGCAGCGCGGAGGCGTCGCGGTAGTCAGGTGCGCGTCGCGTGCTCCTCATCCCCCTCACGTAGCTAGCTCGTGCTTTGTTTTGAGAAGACGCGAGAGTGGCCGTTCCCACGCTTCCGCGCCTTCTCCTTGTAGCCTCTTGCTGCGCCTTGTGTGTCAAAATTCGTATTCGTGATACGGTAAAGCCCCGATTATATGTCCCGACGAGCGCCTGACATTTCGATCGCGACGCGTACGATTGATTTCTTCTGCCGACGACGGCGGCGGCAATCTAATCGCGCGCGCGCGCCACGACCGCTGGAACGCGGTCGAGGTATCCGTCGAGAGAGTTGCGCGGGAAAATACACGTTACGTTCAGTCAGCCAACGATGATATCCCGGGATGATAGCGCGGCTCCTTATCGGCGCTTATCACTCGCCGACGATTCCGGCAGATCGAGCGTACGCAAGGTCGATGAATGAGTCTCGATAAGAACCTGAAGCGACCGTTAACGTGACCGCGCGCGTGTTAATCCTTTGAGGCATAGCGCTAAGTTGTATGCTTACCACCTATTTATTCTCACGTTTTCATGAAATATTCCGTATTTGAGGGATTCTTGTCGGGTTTTCTGCGCTTTTTAGCTTCTTGTATGATATGGGAAGATACATGAAAGGTTGAAAAGTGTTTTGCATAAGTTGTCCACTTATTATAAATAAACAAAGTGTGAAAAATACACATTTTTACAGAAAAAAATCATTTTCCACGAACTATGAGTGAATTTCTTGCTCGAAATCAAGATTTCGGGGGGGGGGGTTTGGGTCGCTGATTACGAATCTGAGGTCCAAATTCCAAAATTATTTTTCCAAGATGGCGGACTCAAGATGGCGGATCATAGAATGTGGAGAAAATTAGCTAAAATTGTACTCTGGTTAGTTTTTGAAGTCGCTGATTACGAATCTGAGGTCCAAATTCTAAAATTTATTTTCCAAGATGGCGGATCCTAAAATTTTTATACGATTAGCTGAAATTGTACTTTGGTTAGCTTTCAAGGTCGCTGATTACGAATCACCGATGTCACCGAGATTATCGCGATTTTTCACATTTGTGGCCGCCATCTTGAATTTCGAAAATCTGATAACGAATTCGTAATCAGCGACCCCAGAAACCCCCGTACATGAATTTTCATGTGATTCGAATTTTCTGAAAAATACGTGCCTCAAAGGGTTAAGGCTGGATTCTCATTATCGCGGCAGACAGGACTCCGTCAAGCGTCCTTGCTTGTTTCGATATCCGAAACGCCTTCGCGCATCGGGATCTGAGACGGCTGCGTCTCAAGCTCGATCATTCCCGTCTTGGAAAACTTCAACAACGGAGGACCCTGTCCACGTCCACTAATAGCGGCAGTGAGAATCCAGCCTGCCGCATCGAAGCGCGCGACTTTGTAGTCGGCCGGCTGCACACGCGAGCAGCGCACGCCGCGCTCGTGCGACGCGGCACGCTCTCCTTCGCCCGTACATGTAGATTGGACCATTGTTTCAGCATTGCGATAATCCCGCTCGTGAGTCCTTCCCTCTCCCGAGCGGAGACGTTCCTCCACCAGACGTTCTACCACGGCATGCCAGTTCTCCGCTCACACGTGCGCGATTACGAGTCGCGGACGCGCGCGCTCCTTCGAATCGCGATGCCCTCCCCCCACATACTTTCACGCCGCTCGTAAACCCCCTCGCCACGTTCCTCCGCTCCCCCCTTCCTCCCCCCCTCCGTTCCCGCCGGCTCCGACCCGGCGAATATTGTCACGCAGCCCATTCCCATGCCCGTAAATAAGAGAC